TGTTAATGTTCTTTACCCTTTTGATTAAAGATACAGCAGTAGGTTTGGAGGAGGGGATATAATTGACTTTCAATTTCAAGATCTTCAGATTTACTTGTATTATCATATTTTTTAACAAATATATTATGGAACAAGCAAAGAAAAGACGTCTTTTTAAGTATTAAATTACTATATTACTATTAGTGTTCTATTAGGCTCGCCATTATTATTATTATTAATATTATTATAAATGTAATTATTATTATTATTATTATTAATGTTATTATTAATATTATTATTATTTCATTTATTAAGACGACTCAAAATGACTTTAACCCCTTTCTTATGCCGATGAAAATATTACACATTCTATCAATCATCTAATTCTCCCCCCCTCTCCCTCTCCCTCTTTTTCGTAAGCACCTGCTCATAAGTTAAATTTCTGTCAAACTTTTTTGCCAGCATTTATCTCAACATTTTGCATTTCATTGTTCTACATCTCTGTTAATTTCCCTCAATTTAAAGGTTTACACACCCATGTGAAAATATATAGAAAATAGGAAGGAACTGGTTTACACACCCATATATATATATATATATATATATATATAATTAGGTAAATAATCCAAAAGTATATATATATATATATATATATATATATATAATATTTTAGTTATTATTTTTGATAAAAAATAGTGCTCGATACAAAAGTAGAACATAAATATAATTATTTATTTAAAATATAATATATTTTCAACTCAATTTAATTTAAAGGATTATATTGAAGTTTTAGGAAGGCTCTTGTTTTGAAACATGAGATTTCTTATGTAGCTCGATTTGGAATCATATTTTTAAATAAATAATTATATATATATATATGTGTGTGTGTGTGTGTGTGTGTGTGTGTGTGTGTGTGTGTGTGTGCATCTGTGTGTGTGTGTGTGTGTATTGAGTGTGTTTATTTTTTTTAAATTAAATTTCTACGGCCAATGGAATTATACTCCATTTATTATTACCTTATATATATATATATATATATATATATATATATATATATATATATATATATACGTTTTACCAGTTTGCGACTGGAAGGGTTAATTCAAGGAGGATATAAATCAGGGAGAGCTCAATGTCGACTTTCGATTATAATTTTTATTTCATGAACATCGAGATGTTCAACTCATCAGAACGATATCTCATCCGCAAATATATATATATATATATATATATATATATATATATACAAGTATAGGATTGGTGTATACAGAATAATTCCAATAACCCAAAAAATACTATTCTTAAAAGAGTGCTCAATACAGAGCAGAGCAAATATAACCATTTATTCGAAAACATATAACATAATTTTTTATGTTAGAATTTTTGAATAACTTATTAGATATATATATATATATATATATATATATATATATATATATATATATATTGTGATTTTTTGTTAAGCAATCGGTCTGAAGCTAGATGTGTAACTCAAACAATCACGATGCTTTATTAATTCCTTTGTCAACTCTCTCACGCTCTCCCTCTCACTCTCTCTCTCTCTCTCTCTCTCTATATATATATATATGTGTGTGTGTGTGTGTGTGTGTGTGTGTGTGTGTGTGTGTGTGTGTGTTTGTGTGTGTGTGTGTGTGTGTGCAGGTATGTAGAAAAATAGGAAAGAACACGTTAGGTAAATAATCCAGGGTTCTTTAGTATTTTTGTTTCTATTTTTAAAAAACAGTGCTCCATATAGAAGTACAGCTTAGATTATAATTATTTTTTAAAAAAATATGATTCCTTCGCTACATAAGAGTTCTCATGTTTCAAAAACGAGAGCTGAAACCATCCATATAATTATTAAAAATTAAATTGAATTAAAATAACAAGCCCTGTTTAATGCTCAAGGGAAAATTTTTCGCTTGAGCAGGAAAGATGTCTTGTTACTTTAATTCAATTTAATTTTGATAATTATAAATTTCGGTAGGAAAGCTTTTATTTAATTTTTCACGTGTTCTTAGATTTTTTTTATATATGTCTGAGCGCTTTCGGCTATTCGTTTAACCGTTATCAAAGATAATTTCATTTTTATTTTTAACTGAATGCATGGATTTCTTATCTAGAGTTTTCTCGTTATCTCTACGGCAATACACTCTCAGTCGTTTTAACGAAACTGTATAAAAGAGGGATAGCTGCACAAATACACAATTATATATATATATATAATAATTTCATTCCAAGCAAGGCCACATAGCTACTAAGACGCAAGTCACTGATTGTGAGAGAATATGAGAATAAGAAAATATTAAACGTATAGTAAGTAAGAAGACAGAAGATAACGATTGACATTACAATTAAGAATACACACACACACGTAAATATATATATATATGTGTGTGTGTGTGTGTATGTGTCTATGTACACATACACGTTTTTTCTCATCACGTTTCTATTTTGTCTAATAGTCTAATAATGCACAATAAATGTTATTATTATTGTGTCATTTTCGAATTTTATATATATATATATATATATATATATATATATATATATATATATATATATATATATATATATATGCAAGATTAATATTAATATAAAATTTACCACTTAGCTGATTGATGTCCTATTTGTCACTCCGACTCTAGACTTTTGTAGGCGAACCTTTTTGCAATCTTTCGGTCCACTTGTCAGGAGGTATCAGCAATTACCTGCCGATTTTCTCATTTTCTTTATTTTTATATTAAAGGATTTTATTAAAAAAAATATCACTGCTCTTTTTATTGGTGTTTGGTTTGATTTTTTTCTTTGTTTCTATGTGTGCGTTTGTGTGTGTGGTGGGACGTGACTCCGGTGATCGGGCTTGTCGGGCTTAGCCCGAGTGAATCAACATTCAAGTATATCTATTTCAAAGCAACAAAACTCTTTCGTAGTGCGACGTTTTCATTATTGACTTCAGCTGGATCTAAAATGAATTGTTTTATCTCCGTGCCTCAAAATATTGACCGAAATATATTTCGTTGATATTGTTCATAAGAAAGAAAGAAAGAAAGAAAGAAGACAAAGAAAGAAAGAAAGAAAGAAAGAAAGAAAGAAAGAAAGAAAGAAAATCAACGTGTCTAGACTGGCTACATAGATCTGAGTCCTATCTGAGCTGCTAATATTTAATAGGCAATGTATTTCTTGCTTTAATTTTATAAATAATCCTTTAAAAATCTCTAATGCCCTAATAATACACAATAAATATTATTATTATTGTGTCATTTTCCAATATCTTTCAATGGCTAATATATATATATATATATATATATATATATATATATATATATATATATATATATATACAGAGAGTGTGTATATATATATATATATATATAGATAGAGAGAGAGAGAGAGTTACGGTGGAGTAATGAACAGTTGCTGAGTTGAGACAAGAAACACTCAGTTGTGCTACCGATGAAGAAAAAATGCATATTTATTATTAATATATTATTTATTATTTTATTTATTATTATTACTTATTATTAATATATAGTTCGTAGCTCTGTTATATTACATTGAGCACTATTTTATTAACACCAGCACTCAATGTACGGTATCATATATATATATATATATATATATATATATATATATATATATATATATATATATATATATATATATATTGTTTAAAATTTGATATGTTTATAAGTGCAGAGTGTACAATATCTGGGGCTGTTTATAAATGGAGGTAGTGCCAACATAGAAATTAACATTGGATGCTGCCTGTTTCATGCCTCAAACGATCTTCATATCACGTGTTTGATCTACGATCGTATAGAAGTGTCAAACATACAGCTGCCATGCAGCGTTGATTCCTATGTCCACTCCTCCGCTCTCTATCTTCATATATATATATATATATATATATATATATATATATATAAAATATGTATGTATGTAAATATATATATGTATGCAATTTTTTATATATATTATTTATATATTATATATGCGCGGTACTTATTTGAAAGCGCTCAATATCATATATATATATATATATATATATATATATAACCGAAACTAGTCGAGGAATCTAAATCAAATAATAATAAAAAAAACGAAGTGTGTCTGAAGATTTTAATTTTTTAATATTTTTTATTGTTCAAATTATATATATATATATATGTGTGTGTGTGTGTACACACACATACACACTCACACATATATGTATGTGCGTGTATATATGTTTATATGCATGCATATTTTTTCAAACTGTCTCTTATTCATTCGCTTTTTTATGAAATTTTTGTTTTCCACGTATATCTCACTCAAAAAATTACTTTCACTTTCACTTTCCACGAGGTACTTTTGAAGGTATCAAATCTCTGTCTTTCTCTGTTACTCCCCCCTCTCTCTCTTTCTCTCTCCTCTCTCTCTCTCTCTCTGTCTCTCTCTCTCTCTCTCTCTCTCTCTCTCTATCTCTGTCTGTCTATCCATCTCACACCCACACACTTAAATACTTACTTTGCTGCTTATATTTTCCCTTTCTAGTTCTCTTTCTCTTCGGGATTGCATCATTTCTCTTACTCTCTCTGTTTCTCACTCTTTTTCTTTCTCCCATTTATCTATCTATCTACCCATCTTTACTAATTCTTTTTTATATTTTACTTCTCTCTCCTCTGAACTCTCCCGCTCTCCCACTTTCACTTTGCATCAATAACGTTATCCCCGCTCTTTCCTCTCTTCCTCTCATTCTTTCTTCTCCTCTCTCTCTCTCTCTCTCTCTCTCACTCTCTCTCTCTCTCTCTTACTTTTATTTTCAACCTCTTTCTCTCTTTTCTTGACTTCCTGTCTCACCTACTTCTCCCTATTCTGGTTTCTGTCTTTCACCCTTTATCACACGCGTTACTCTCTTTTATTCTGTTTCTCTCTCTCTCTCTCTCTCTCTCTCTCTCTCTCTCTCTCTCTCTCTTTCTCTCTCTCTTCTATCTATCTATCTGTCTCGAGTTTACTTCTCCCTATTCTGGTCTCTGCCTTTAGAAAATTGTAAAGAGAAAGAAAGAGATCAAAATGCTGAGTGAGTTTTTAGACAGAGAAAGAAAAAGGGCATAAGGTGGGTAGAAAGAATGGACCAATGAGAGATATAAAAGAAATGAACGTGAAAGTGAAAGTAAAAGTGAAAGTAAATTGTAATAAGAAATGCATAAACGGAAAGACGGTAAAGGAGAAACTAACTTACTAAGAGAGTAGTCAAAGAGAGAAATGGAAAGGAAATAAATAAAGAAAGCAATAATTGATTAAATAATAACGCGTTACTCCCCCCTCTCTCTCTCTCTCTCTCTCTCTCTCTCTCTCTCTCTCTCTCTCTCTCTCTCTCTCTCTCTCTGATACTTTTATTTTTTTCAGTCTTTTTCTCTCTTTTCTTGACTGTGTCTCCCCCACAGGCAATTCCATTATTCTCATAACACACCCCCTTTCATTCTCTCTCCCTCTCCTCTCTTTCTGTCTATCTATCACACGGTCTTAGATGCCCGCTGTCTATCAGGCAGGGGTGTTGGGTAGAATTCGTGAAGAAATCTCACTTACCGAATTTTGAAATAAACTTCACGCTGAGGAAATATGCCAAGAGTTCTGATATATGATTGAAGACCGAGGCCACACCAAAAAGTGTCGGGGAGCCTCCTAAGTCCTGCAAATGCCAAAAGAGAAAGGTAAAAATAAGGCCAATTCCAAATCCCATAAACCAGGCGACGAACAGTACAGAAATGTACCTGATCGAAGCTAGCATTTTTAAAACCGTTAACCATTTTCCGAAGTAAGTTTCCTCCTCGAATGTTTTACCGGAACCAGAAGCGTGTCCATTGACAGTATCACTGACCATGTCACTTTGTTTGTCCAGGGAGATGTGCAGCTTATCCGGGGGAGTTTTTTCCGGAAAGCTCGACTCTATATGGGCCTTGTCTTTTGTGTAGTAATCGAAGTCGTCCTCCTCGACCAGACGGACTCTGTCGATTTTTCTTCGTCCGGTGACAGTTTCTTTAATTTTGTCTTTGATCTGCGAGGCGATCTGCTGCAGGGGGATATCCATGCTGCCCTGGTGGAACGAGAAATTAAACTGGGTGGCCGTAATGAGGGCGCAGCTCATCAGCACGGAGAATACAGCAAAACAAATAACATAGTTTTTCTCGCCCAATTCTTGCGTTCCACAAGGGTGATTAGGGAACGTAGTAGAGTGATCAAGAGCCATGCCCACCAGAAACATAGCAATGCCCCAGCCAAGAGAGCCAAACATACGCTGTCTACCATAATTCTCAACGTCGTCCCCCAGATATGCAAGGGTCACCGAATCAGCCAAGGTGATCGCTGGGGCGCTAAAGAACTCACCAACGATGACTAACAGTAGCAAGACGAAAAACACCTGTCGGACTTGATCTTCGCGGTATACAATCGTACTAAAGCGAGGACTGACTAAACCCGCTACTTCGTCTTTGTTCTTATTGGCGATTTTCGTGTGATCGATCTCGTAACCCTCGTGTTTCGGCTTCACGCGTTTGACCCTGGAGCGAGCGGCTGGTAGATCGTCAACCGTACCGATCAAGTCATCAATGTCTGTCAACTTTTCCGAATCTGTCAACCCGTGCAGGCTGTTCGGATGATGCAGGTCGTTAATGGCCTGCTCCTGGGCTGCATAATTTTCGACTAAGCTTTTCGCCACCTTGTCGTTATTATAATGCGGAAGGTTAGGACTTTTATAAAGAAACGGGTTTTCCTGTGGTATCCACCCGTCTCCAGTGCCTATGTCCCTCCGCTTTCTTGTGTAAGGCTCGGAAAGGAATATATGGGTGGAGTTTGTAGAAATGCACGAATGGGCTGGTGGGTGAACGAAAGCCAAGGATAATGTAAAGGCGATCCAACCAAAAAGGGAGAAGAGCAGAAGTTGTTTACCTTTCTTCCACTTGTCAGCAAAAACACCCCATAAGGGCGCACTGCAGAATTCTACAAAGGGACGAAATCCGATGAGAATACCGCCTTGGGTTGGGTTCATCCCAAGCTGTCGGAAGTAAACTGCCATCAAGGGAAACAGGGAGCCAAAAGCAGCAAAAAAGAAGAAATAAAAGATCTTAGAGATCAGAAGGTCGCGATTGATGTAAGTAAATAAATTGTCAATAATATCCCGTCTGGAGTATGGCTTCCCTGGAAATTGTTGTTGTTTGTAAGAGTTTTGCTGGAAAAACTGTTTTTCACTTAGGGTTGGCGACCGAGTTCCCGCTTGGTCAGGTCCACCTCCTGTTTCATAATCGACACCCATTTTTGTGTGTGTTTATGTTTACTTTTGATAATGTTGTTGAGAAAGAATATTTTTTTTTATCTTTTTTTAAAAAAAAAAAAAAAAAATTTTGAAAAAATATTCACTTAAAAATAGAAAAGGATACTTTTTTTTATTGTAATATTTTGTATTAAATTTTTGATTGTAGTAGTTTTTAATAAAATTTTAATCAAATCTTTTATTGCTTCCAAGCAAGGGCTCTAGTAATATTTTAATGATTCTTTTTTTTTTAATTTCTTTTTCGTATTTTTATTCCAGATATTTTTCTTTCTTTACAATTTAAATTTTTTAAAATAATTTTGATGTTTTTTTTGTGATTCTTACATACATACATCTACATACATACATACATACATATATATATATATATATATATATAAGGTTATATATATATAGATATATATATAACTATTTTTCTTTACACATCGAATATCCGAAAATCCCCGATATATATATAAAATATATATATATATATTTTTATATATATATATATATATTGATTAATTAAACTCTTTTTTTATTCTGTTATTTTCCCCCTTCTCTGTGTATTAATTCCGTGAGTTGATGATAGATACTTTGTGAAAAAGAACCCACAACACGTCGATGTTTCTTTTTTTTTTTTTTTGCCACTCCAATGTTTTTCTTTTTTGTTGTTGTTGCTTTTGTTTTTTGTTTGTTTTTTTAAGGATCCATTTCCTCCTTTTTTAGATGAGGGTTATTTCGTAGTTGGTTGGAGTAATGCGGACAAAGATTAAAATAAACACAGCCTTTCCATGTTAGCCGCTGGAGACGGAGTTCAACTAATCAAAATGAACTGGGGAAAATAACGAAAAAAAAAAGGAAAAGAAAAGAAAAACCTCCACAGCTTTTGATACAGTTGCTCGCACTGCGACGATCCACGGGCAGACTGCATCGAGTGTCGTTAACCAGAACACTACCGAGCTACGTACTGACTGACGAAGGACGTAAGTACGGTTGGAGCCTCCAACTGCACATATGCGCGCACACACACGCGCAAACGTTGGCACACACAGATGAGAGTGTGTACAACGAAGGAGAGCGAGCGAGATAGAGAGAAGGGGGAGGAAATAAAACGAGGGGGAGGGGAAATAAAGAGGATGGCAGAAATATAGCCAGAGAGGGGGAGTAGAAAAGAGGAAGGAGACAATAAAAGACCACACGTCGATTCCTTATTCTCCTCCTCCTCTTCCCTCATTGTTACTCTCATTATTACATTGATTAGTATATATATTTAATCTCTCTCCCCTCCTTCCTTAATCTTAGTTTCGTCGAATTATCATATTTCCCCTTTGCTGTTCTGTATGTCGCATTCTCTCTCGTTATTTATTTATTTCCTTTCACTTCCTCTCTCTGAGAACTCTATTAATATGTATGTTTTCTCTCCAATCGTTGTACTTTCTCTTATGCGTTTCGTGTGACTTTTTACTTTCACTTTCACTTTCGTTATTATTGAGTCTATCATTACTTTCTTGTTTAATTTATTTATTTCCTTTCCCTTTCTCTCTCTAACTACTCTCTTAGTGAGTTAGTTTCTCACTCCACCGTCTGTCTATTTCTTATTACGATTTTACTTTTACTTTCACTTTCATTACTATTATGACTCTTATTACTTCATTCTTTCCATTTTTTTTCCTTTTCATTACTTTTCACTCTCTCATTAATTCATTTTTTCTTTCTTTTTTCTTTCTTTCTTTTCCCCGTTCTCTCTCTCTAAATCCACTCCCTGAAGTTGATCTCTCCTTCCGCCATCTGTTATTCTCTTTACGATTTCCTTACTACGTTTTTACCTTTACTTTCGTTACTATTTAATTAATTCCTTTATTCTTTCTTTCTTACTTTCTTTATATATTTCTTTCTTTTTCTTTCTTTCTTTCTTTTTTCTTTCTTTATATCTTTCATTTTTTTCTTTCTTTTTCTTTATTCCTATCTATTTTTCCTTCCTTCTTTCTATCTTTCCTTTTTTACGTTTTCTTTCTTCCTATCTTTCCTTCTGTCTTTTTCTTTTTTTCTTTCTTTCTTTCTTTCTATCTTTCTTTCTATCTTTCCTTCGTTTGTTCTTTCTTTCTTTCTTTCTTTCCCTTCTCCTTCTATCTCTAATTCCTGTCTCTCAAATTGATCTCCCCTTCCACCATCTTTCTTTCACCGATTGCGTTTCCCTATTACGTTTTTACTTTCACTTTCATTTTAGATTTGTTCTCTCTTTACTACCTCCTTTCTTTCTTTCTTTCTTTCTTCATTTATTTATTTCTCCTCGCCTTTTTTCTCTAAAATTCTCTTTCTCCTGCTCTCTCTCCTTCTCTCTCTCCCTCTCTCTCTCTTTCATTCCACCGTCTACCGTTCTTTTCTACTGTTTTTCTCATATTTTTATTTTCTCTTTCATTACTATTCACTCTTTCATTTCTTCTTTCTTTCTCCACATTTATTTCTACCTGTTTTCTCTCTCTAAAAACTGACTTAACAAGTTCTTATGGTATTGTACTTTCACTTTCACTTTCATTATCATTCAATCTGTAATTACCACCATTATTATCCTACTCTCTCAGTTTTTCACTCGCTTCCCTGTATCTTTATTGCTATTAAGCCCTCATTCTTAAATATTCATTGCTTCTGTTGTCACTAGAAGCGTTTCATTTCTCCTTTCTTTCGTCTGTTTTCTCAAACCTTCACACAAATTTTGCTTATCTTGGTATTCACTTGCGTGTTACTTATAGGTTTACTCGGGGCTCCGTGTCCAAAATCCTTCGCTTCTCACCCGCAATGCTCCTGCTGGTATTCAGTGACGAGGGCGACGTCGACAGAGGTGAGGAGGAGGAGGAGGAGGATGGATAGCTTCTACATCTCTTTCAAAAAGAAAAGATGTGCCGATACAAACGAGGAAAGAAAGGAGGGCACGAAAATGTGAAAGAGAATAAAGAAAGAAAGAAAGAAAGAAAGAAAGAAAGAAAGAAAGAAAGTTAATATATGAAAAGAGAAAAAAATTCAGGAAAAAATCAGAAAGAAACAGAGATGATCATATATATATAAAAGAAGAGAGAAAGAAAGAAAGATGAAGAGAGAAAGACAAACGGGAGAGAAAGATGATATGTAAAGAAAGAAAGAAAGAAAGAAAGAAAGAAAGAAAGAAAGAACGACAATAATGTATAAAAAAAGAAAGAAAGACAATAATGTATGCGAAAGAAAGAAAGAAAAAAGAAAAGAAAGACGAACAAAAAAGAAAGAAAGAAAGAAAGGCGGATATATAGAAAAAAGAAAGAAAGAAAAACATTGAGAAAGAAAGAAAGAAAGAAAGAAAGGAAAAAGAAAGACGATGATATACAGAAACAGAAGAAAGAAAAATTGAAAGCTGATGCTATAGAAAGAAAGAAAGAAAGAAAGAAAGAAAGAAAGAAAGGCGTGATATATAGAAAAATAGATAAAGAAAGAAAAACATTGAGAAAGAGAGAAAGAAAGAAAGAAAGCCGACGATATACAGAAAAAGGAAGAAAGAAAAATTGAAAGATGATGCTATAGAAAGAAAGAAAGAAAGAAAGAAAGAAAGAAAGAAAGAAAGAAAGAAAGGCGTGATATATAGAAAAATAGATAAAGAAAGAAAACCATTGAGAAAGAAAGAAAGAAAGAAAGAAAGAAAGAAAGCCGACGATATGCAGAAAAAGGAAGAAAGAAAAATTGAAAGATGATGCTAAAGAAAGAAAGAAAGAAAGAAAGAAAGAAAGAAAGTAATGATGTAAGGAATGCAAAGAAAAAAGTAAATTCAAATGAAAGACTGACAAAGAGGGTGGAGAGAAGAGAAGAGCGAGAAAGTAAGGATGACGAGAAGACAACGAAGGATTGAAAACGAATTCTGATGACTTTTCTCAACTTCGATGTCGCAAGAAAGGAAAGAAGAGAGAAGAGAGAAAAGCGGACGAATAGAAGAGGCTGTGCGCCTGATACACACATCGACGAGGAGCGGGCATCCAACAGTTAAAAACAACAACAACTGATGCTGAGAAGCCGATCGATATTTTGCTGAAATGGAACACAGTAGCAAGGTTTGGGCCAGAATTTTTTTTTCTCATTTCCAAATCCCCAAACGGCTTCGATTGAGAACAACACCCGCCCACCACCGCCCCCGTTGACGGGGGCCACACATCGCTCAACTGTTCACGTTTTATCTTACAGACGCACATAGATAGATAGATAGATACGAACAGAGAATTATATAGATACGAACAGAATGAGATAGATAGATAGATAGATAGATAGATAGATAGATAGATAAGCATACATTGAGATAGATAGATAGATAGATAGATAGATAGATGCTCTATGTATATATATACAGAGAGAGTGTATATATGGTTGTGTGTGAGAGCTAGAGAGAGATAAAGAGAGAGATAGATAGATAGATAGATAGATAGATAGATAGATAGATAAGCATACACTGAGATAGATAGATAGATAGATAGATAGATAGATAGATAGATGATACGAACAGAATGAGATAGATAGATAGATAGATAGATAGATAGATAGATAGATAGATAGATAGATATGCATACACTGAGATAGATAGATACGTGGATAGATAGATAGATAAATACGAACAGAGAATTGGATAGATAGATAGATAGATAGACAGATAGATACTCTATGTATATATATACAGACAGAGTGTATATATGGTTGTGTGTGAGAGCTAGAGAGAGATAAAGAGAGAGATTGAATATAGATAGATAGATAGATAGATAGATAGATAGATAATGATGTTTCAAAACCTAAAACCTCAATCCTTCTTTGCCTTCATAATTCCTCATTAATTACGACATTTCTATGCAAATTATTGAAAGACTACAAAGTCAGTTTTATCCAAAACAAAAATCCTAATCCATAACAGCCAAACATGTTTCCAGCCATCAGATCAGATCTTCTTATGTCCGTCAATGTCTGTAATATTTCCATGTACTTTTTTTTCTTTCGTATTTGATATCTATCTTTATTATCTAAAAACCAATTTTCATAATAACTTATTTTGGTAAGGTCATTTTTATTACGCCAAAAACGTAAAACATAAATTTCTATTTATAAAAATAATTCCAAAGAAATATAGTTTCTTACTTAGCACGATTGTTGTGCCTTGCCAATGCCGCGTGTGTAACGAACTACTTCGTCTTGATCGCGTGGAAAGACGGACAAGACGCGTTGTTTGGTTTCAGGAAAAGAAAGAAAGAAAGAAAGAAAGAAAGAAAGAAAGAAAGAAAAACAATAATGTGCAAGAAAGAAAGAAAATAATTTATAAGAAAGAAAGAAAGAAAGAAAGAAAGAAAGACAATTATGCATTAGAAGGAAAGGAAGAAAGACAATAATGTATGAGAAAAAAGAAAGAAGAAAGGAAAGATTATAATCTATAAGGAAGGAATAAAGAAGTAAGGAAAGAAAGAAAGACAATAATGTATAAGAAAGAAAGAAAGAAAGAAAGTGTTATGGGATCTTACCCATAATAATAATAATGGACTATTCCATAAATACTGCGGAGTAGGCAAGGAATCAGTCGAGTCAGTAGTTCAAGTAGAGTCAGTAGTTCAAGTCGAGTCAAGAGTCGAGTCAGAGGCAGTCCGAAACAGAGTCACGTTCAGACAATTACTACAAGACATTGGAATAGTGTTACTGGTCGAGACTACATTGTTCTCTCTACTAAACCTGATTGTTCATACTAGCACTTCTACTTCTCTGTATATATTCCTGTTTGTAATATATCTGTGTTATTCCATACCTGTGTTCGAGTTCTTCTTTATTGGTTCTACATTGGACTATCACCGTGGTACAAGGAACCGGACTATAACAAGTGGCAACGAAGATTCGAATTCATTCGGTGGAAGAAAAAAAAATTCGTTCGCCACAGCATAACAAGTGGCGACGAGGAAACCAACTCTCTATGCGGAGGACAAACTTTTTTTTTTTTTTTTTTTGCTATCCGTCGCGCATAACACGTGACAACAAAGGAAAGTTTTTTTTTTGTTGCGTGCACAGGCTACAGAATATCAGGTTACACAAAAAAAATACGTTAACATGGAAGATTTTAAGTCAACCATTATGGAACTTATCAAAATCCAATTTGAACAGCAACAAAGGTACGAACAGAAACATCTGGAATTGCTAGACTTATTGTTACGTGCAATGACAAATAAGGAGCAAAAATCCGAGAACGAAACAGTTCTCTCACAAGACGCTATTTGGAGTAATATCGAAGATTTCAAGTACGCACCCGACGAAGATAAAACTTTTGCAAATTACTTCCGAAGGTACGAAGATCTATATGATTTTGACTGCAAAGATTGGTCAGACGGACGTAAAGTACGCCTATTACTAAGACAATTAGGCACAGTCGAATATACCTAATTCGTTGATTATATCCTTCCCAGAAAAACAAGCGAGTTAACGTTCAAAGAATCCATAAAACTACTAACGGAACTTTTCAGCCAGAATACTTCACTATTCCATAAAAGATGAAAATGCTTGAACCTTACAAAAAAGGACAGCGAACATTACATAACTTTCGCATCCATTGTTAACAAATATTGTGACGACTTCAAATTATCGGAACTCAGGTGGACAACTTCAAATGCTTAATTTACGTCCAAGGCCTGGTTTCAACCAAAGACGCGGAAATGAGACGCAGAATACTTACTAAATTGGAGAGTGAACAAGATCTGATACTTCAAAAACTAACTGAAGACTGCCAGAGATGCATCAGTGTGAAGAAAGACTCAAAAGACATAGAACAAGCTGGCATAGCACACGTACGCAAAGTACAAAGGCAAACAAATTTTCCCTCCTCACAAACAAACCGAACCGATTTTCCCGCCTCAAGAACAGGTAAAACAACATTTTCTAATTATAATCAACATAAAAAAAAATACCACCCTGTCCATGCTATCGTTGTGGGTCTTTGGGTTAAAGACTGTACATATCGTTTTATAACTTGTCTATCATGTAAAAAAATTGGCCACAAAAGTTCTCATTGAAAGCAGAATAAGAATTACGAGGACTGACCAAGTAGATGAGACTAATATAAGAAAATATGTACAAGTTGAAATGCAAAACAGAAAAGTTAGGTTACAGCTGGATTCTGGCTCAGGCTTAAATATCATAAATCTACAAACATGGAGAAAACTGAACAAACCTGTCATGTTAAAAACGGATAAAATTGCGAAATCAGTTACGGGGAGAAAGATAAAATTCGAGAGTGAAGTAATTACAAACGTAACATTTAATGGAATGTCGAAAAAACTAAAAATGTACGTCTTAAGAAATACCGAAAACCTATTCGGAACAGACTGGATGCAAAAATTCGAATTGTGGGATCTACCTATTAGTACGTACTGCCAAAATGTAAAAAGCTTATCAACCGAGGCAGACAAATTAAAAGGAAAACTAAAAACGAGTTTCCCCGAAGTATTTTCAGTAAGTCTCGGAAGATGTAAGAAAATGGCAGCTAATATCGAAATAAAGGAAAACGTTCAACATGTTTTCAAGAAAAAAAAAGGAGCGTACCGTTTGCGTCAATAGAAAAAATTGGCCAAGAATTAACTAGACTTGAAAATACGGACATATTGAAAAATGTAGAATACAGCAAATGGGCCGCACCGACGGTCTGCGTTAAAAAGAAAATCAGATCAGCGTTCGATAAATTACGACCAAGTAAAACAAAACAAGTAACACAGTCCTACGCACCAAAAAGAAAATTCCTCCCGGGAGAAAAAGTTCTTTTTAAGGCATATAAAAATAATACCTCTTACTGGGAGCAAGGCATAATTGAGAAAAGAATTGGTAATATGATGTACATAGTACAAGGAATAAAATTCTCACACAGAAGACACGTAAACCAAATAAGGACGAGACCGTTACAGGATGCTAACGGTCCACCTCAAGAAGAGGTGTTGGACACGATTTTCGTCACATTCAATATAAAAAGACCGCAAATAATGCCAGAACCAAGAAAATCGCCAAGAAAAAGAAAATTCACTGAACTTTTGGGAATAGATCCAAAGAAAAAGATATTAAAAAAAAACCTACTAAAAACCTTTATGGGATCTTACCCATAATAATAATAATGGCTTAAAAAAGCTTAGGGAAGGAGTCAGGGGACTGTTATGGAGGCTATTCCGGGGATAATAATGAATCCGTTTATATGGGTTCAAATGGGCTATTTTTGGCTTTGAGCCTAATGGCTCCGGGAATGCCCACATTAAAAAGGCCTTTGCCACATGACACCCTCGTGGGGGTGACTGAATATCGTCAGTCGACCCAGGACTTACTGAGCGACTGTTCGGTTCAACTCTTCCTACTTCGAAGGAGGCTACGCCGAAGGGCGAAGTCTCCTTCGGGAGGTAAACCGGCCCTGAACACGTTTATACGGGTTCAAATGGGCTATTTTTGGCTGAGCCTAATGGCTCGGGAATGCCCACATTAAAAAAGGCCTTGTGCCGCATGACACCTCGTGGGTGGGTGACTGAATATCTCAGTCGACCCAGGACTTACTGAGCGACTGTTCGGTTCAACTCTCTTCCTACGGGCGGGGAGGAACCCGAAGGAGGCTACGCCGAAGGGCGGAGTCTCCTTCGGGGAGGTTAAATCGGCCCAGAACCCGTTTATACGGGTTCAAATGGGCTACAGCCGGGCCTAATGGCTCCAGGAAGGCCTTGTGCCCACGTTGACTGAAAAGGACCCAGGACTTTTGAGCGACTGTTCGGTTCAACTCTCTTGACACCCCCTGACCCGTTCATACGGGTTGGGGAGATGGCTCGGGAATATTGCTTTACATGACAGTCGACCCAGGACTTACTGAGCGACTGTTCGGTTCAAACTTCTTACGGGGAGGAACCTGAAGGAGGCTACGCCGAAGGGCGGAGGAGGTAAACGGCCCTGAACCCGTTTATATGGGGTTCAAATGGGCTACGCTAATGAAAAAGGCGGAGACACCCTCCTTCTGGGAGGTCGACCCAGGACTTACTGAGCGACTGTTCGAACCCGTTTAGGAACCTGAAGGAGGCTACGCCGAACGGGTTCTTCGGGAGGTAAACCGGCCCAGAACCCGTTTATACGGGGTTTTTGGCCGAGCCTAATGGCTCGGGAATGCCCACGTTAAAAAGGCCTTGTGCCACATGACACCCTCGTGGGGGTGACTGAATATCGTCAGTCGACCCAGGACTTACTGAGCGACTGTTCGGTTCAACTCTCTTCCTACGGGCGGGAGGAACCTGAAGGAGGCTACGCGAAGGGCGGAGAAGGTTAAACTGGCCCTGGACCCGACGGGTCTCCTAATTCGGGAAGGTTAAAAGGCCTTGTGCCCTGGACCCGTGGGGGTCTGAATATCGTCAGTCGACCCAGGTTCGAAAGGAGGCTACGCCGAAGGGCGGAGTCTCCCGGGGAGGTTAACTGGCCCTGGACCCGCATACGGGAATTTTTCCTAACGGGAATTCTACGTTAAAAAGGCCTTGTGCCACATGACACCCTCGTGGGGGGTGACTGAATATTGTCAGTCGACCCAGGACTTACTGAGCGACTGTTCGGTTCAACTCTCTTCCTACGGGAGGGAGGAACCCGAAGGAGGCTACGCCGAAGGGCGGAGTCTCCTTCAGGGGATCGCTCCGGCCCAGAACCCGTTTATACGGGTTCAAATGGGTGATTTTTGGCCGAGCCTAATGGCTCGGGAATGCCCACATTAAAAAGGCCTTGTGCCACATGACACCCTCGTGGGGGGGTGACTATTGTCAGTCGAGTCAGTAGTTTAAGTCGAGTCAGTAGTTCAAGTCGAGTCAAGAGTTGAGTCAGAGGCAGTCCGAAACAGAGTCGCGTTCAGACAATTACTGCAAGACATTGGAATAGTGATACTAGTTGAGACTACATTGTTCTCTCTACTAAACCTGCTTGTTCATACTAACACTTCTACTTCTCTGTATATATTCCTGTTTGTGATATACCTGTGTTATTCCATACCTGTGTTCGAGTTCTTCTTTATTGGTTCTACCTTGGACTATCACCGTGGTACAAGGAACCGGACCCTAACAGAAAGAAAGAAAGAAAGAAAGAAAGAAAGAAAGAAAGAAAGAAAGAAAAGAAAGAAAGAATAGAAAGAAAGAAAGAAAGACGAAGCGATAACGCTCTTATGCTTCAAGGAAATGAAAAACTTGTTGTAAGTGTTCGTCTCTCTGTGTCTTAGTATGTCTCCTGTTGGAATCTCTCCCTTTTTTTCTTTTAGACAGGGTCCCTTTTTATTGATAGCGATGTTGAAAGAGGTTCCGTTAATTATTTCTTATTGGTCACCATTTCTTATTGGTCAACATATATTTATTTAGGATTGTATTTAATCGACTTCAAACAGAAGTTATGCGCGGAGCCTATTGCGCAGAGCCCGAAATATGTCATTATATTTTAAGCTATGAAAGAGGTAACTTCCTGCTTTCGCTTTCAGGGCCACTACAGTATCTACCGTTGTAAATATTTCTCATTGAAACAATTCATATTATAATGCTGTACTACAGTTATAAATGTAATAAAACTAATTTTACTTGTTCAATATTCAAGAGACGATTACAAAACAATTTTCAAAAGTCCTGTTGCGCAACATACACAAGTAACGTAAACAAATCTTTTATACTTGATTTGTAAAGCTATGTCTGCGTTCACACCAATCATTATTTCTCGTAGTAGTGTTAAATAACAACATTTACGATAACACACACACATATATATATATATATATATATATATATATATATATATATATATAGTTTCTCATTAAAAGTCATTATCATTCTGGTGTTAAATAAAAACCACATTTCGTATAATATGCAAACTTTATTTTTCAATAACGTACATTATACTGTATTTTTTGCAGTGTTAAGCCACAAAACTTTTAAGATGCCATAAAATCTTTATTTCTCATTACATAATACGCAACTTTTTTTTTCCTAGGGCAAAAATTGGTGTGGAGTTAGAAACATGTTTTCTAACAATTGTATAAATTTGGTTTTAATTTGTTATCTTTTACTTTGCGTAAATTGTGTTTTTCTACTACAAGTTCATGTGTGACACTGGTACATGCAAATATATCATACCAGAATGCAATACAAATATATGCCGTATATTTCTGCGTATAAGGCGACCTGTAATTCTTAAAAATTACCCCCTAAAATAGGGGGTCGTCTAATATTCAATATTCAAGAGACAATTACACAACAATTTGCAAAGGTTTCGCTGAGCAATTTTCACATGTAACAATATAAACAAATCTTTCGTTGTTGAAGTATTACTTCAAAAAAGAAATAAAAAGAAATCATCTACACACGAGAGGATGGTGAAATTTTCTTACTTCAATCTATATCTATCTTTTTATTGTTAGCCAAGTTGAAAGAGGCTTAGATTAAGTTGTTGATTATTTTTTATTGGTCACCATTTCTTATTGGTCAACATATATTTATCTAGGATTGTATCGAATCAACTTCAAACGGAGGTTATGCGCGGAGCCTATTACGCAAAGCCCGAAATATGTCATTATATTTGAAGCTATGAAAGAAGCAACTTCCTATTTCTGCTTTTAGTGTCACTACAGTAAATATTTCTCGTTAAATAGTTCATATCATAATGCTTCACTAGAGTTATAAATGTAATAAAATATTTTTACTTCTTGATTTTACATTAAAATTCAATATTCAAGAGACACAACAATTTGCAAAAGTTTCGCTGAGCAATTTGCACAGGTAACAATATAAACAAATCTTTCGTTGTTGATTTGCAGAAGTATTACTTCAAAAAAGAAAATCATCTATATACGAGAGGATGGTGAAATTTTCTTACTTCAACCTATATCTATCGGGTTGCGGACTTTCATTCACTAATTTGTATATGGTTGTCCTAGTTTCATCAATAAAATGCGTCCTTGGTATGACGATAAAATACACCCGCGTCCTGGGTAAGACGCTAAAATACGTCCACAAGCAACGCCTCTGATCAGGAGCGTGGATCAGCCTCTTAATTGCTAATGTTCCTAGGTCCACCTTGACCCGGGGTGGTAGTACCTGTTAGGATCCCAGCTATGGGCGAATAGTTAATCCCCCAACTGGGGTCAAAATGCTATAAAAGTGTAAGTGTAAGAAAGAAAGACAATAATGTAAAAGAAAGAAAGAAAGAAAGAAAGAAAGAAAGAAAGAAAGAAAGAAAGAAAGAAAGAACGGACTTGAATTTAAAGAAAGAAAGAAAGAAAGAAAGAAAGAAAGAAAGAAAGAAAAATGTATAAGAAAGAAAGACAATAATGTAAAAGAAAGAAAGAAAGAACGGACTTGAATTTAAAGAAAGAAAGAAAGAAAGAAAGAAAGAAAGAAAGAAAAATGTATAAGAAAGACAATAATGTAAGACAAAAATAAGAAAGACAATAATGTAAAAGAAAGAAAGAAAGAAAGAAAGAAAGAAAGGAAGAAAGAACGGACTTGAATTTAAAAAGAAAGAAAGAAAGAAAGAAAAAAAAGAAAGAAAACAAAAGTAAAAGAAAGAAAGAAAGACAATAATGTAAAAGAAAGAAAGAAAGAACGGACTTGAATTTAAAGAAAGAAAGAAAGAAAGAAAGAAAGAAAGGAAGAAAGAAAAATGTATAAGAAAGAAAGACAATAATGTAAAAGAAAGAAAGAAAGAACGGACTTGAATTTAAAGAAAGAAAGAAAGAAAGAAAGAAAAATGTATAAGAAAGACAATAATGTAAGACAAAAATAAGAAAGACAATAATGTAAAAGAAAGAAAGAAAGAAGGGACTTGAATTTAAAGAAAGAAAGAAGAAAGAAAGAAAGAAAGAAAGAAGGGACTTGAATTTAAAGAAAGAAAGAAAGAAGAAAGAAAGAAAGAAAGAAAGAAGGGACTTGAATTTAAAGAAAGAAAGAAGAAAGAAAGAAAGAAGGGACTTGAATTTAAAGAAAGAAAGAAGAAAGAAAGAAAGAAAGAAAGAAGGGACTTGAATTTAAAGAAAGAAAGAAGAAAGAAAGAAAGAAAGGACGGACTTGAATTTAAAGAAAGAAAGAAGAAAGAAAGAAAGAAAGAACGGACTTGAATTTAAAGAAAGAAAGAAAGAAAGAAAGAAAGAAAAATGTATAAGAAAGACAATAATGTAAGACAAAAATAAGAAAGACAATAATGTAAAAGAAAGAAAGAAAGAAGGGACTTGAATTTAAAGAAAGAAAGAAAGAAAGAAAGAAAGAAAGAAAGAAAGAAAGAAAGAAAGAAAGAAGGGACTTGAATTTAAAGAAAGAAAGAAGAAAGAAAGAAAGAAAGAAAGGAAGAAAGAACGGACTTGAATTTAAAGAAAGAAAGAAAGAAAGAAAGAAAGACAATAATGTAAAAGAAAGAAAGAAAGAACGGACTTGAATTTAAAGAAAGAAAGAAAGAAAGAAAGAAAGAAAGGAAGAAAGAAAAATGTATAAGAAAGAAAGACAATAATGTAAAAGAAAGAAAGAAAGAACGGACTTGAATTTAAAGAAAGAAAGAAAGAAAGAAAAATGTATAAGAAAGACAATAATGTAAGACAAAAATAAGAAAGACAATAATGTAAAAGAAAGAAAGAAAGAAGGGACTTGAATTTAAAGAAAGAAAGAAGAAAGAAAGAAAGAAAGAAGGGACTTGAATTTAAAGAAAGAAAGAAAGAAGAAAGAAAGAAAGAAGAAAGAAAGAAAGAAAGAAAGAAGGGACTTGAATTTAAAGAAAGAAAGAAGAAAGAAAGAAAGAAAGAAAGAAAGAAGGGACTTGAATTTAAAGAAAGAAAGAAAGAAAGAAGGGACTTGAATTTAAAGAAGAAAGAAAGAAAGAAAGAAAGAAAGAAAGAAAGAAAGAAAGAAAGAACGGACTTGAATTTAAAGAAAGAAAGAAGAAAGAAAGAAAGAAGGGACTTGAATTTAAAGAAAGAAAGAAGAAAGAAAGAAAGAAAGAAGGGACTTGAATTTAAAGAAAGAAAGAAGAAAGAAAGAAAGAAAGAAGGGACTTGAATTTAAAGAAAGAAAGAAACAAACAAACAAAGAACGGACTTGAATTTAAAGAAAGAAAGAAAGAAAGAAAGAAAGAAAGACGATAATATCTCGAAAAGAAGTGAAACAGAAACAGATTATTGAAAAAAGAAAGAAAATTGAAACGAGAACTGGCTGTGAAAGAAAAAATAGAAAGAATGACATTAGAAACGAGAAAAACTAAACAAGAAAGACAGAAAGAAAGAAAGACCTGTTAATTTTTTTTTTTCGGGGGGGGGGGGGTTAGCACCATAAAACATCAATATTCCAGACTAACACTCATGCTCCAAACAGAGGGATCACCACTTGTGCCAATTTTTCACTTGTCATTGTATTGCGTAGAAAACAACATCCAATGGCACAGGAGATTTCTTGAAATTGCATCCAGCCACACGCTCCAAATACTGACTACAACGAATAACCTATGCGTGTTGCTAGATAAAAATGTCCTGAGTCGTTTCGGAATATAAGACATGTTGAGAAAAGAAGGTTTTCTTGACGGAAAGCTCCATTCACAGATAAGTTACTGAAGGAACAAGTTGTGACAGAAATTGTACAAATAGATAAATACACACGCATATCGACCTGAACACACGTACCTGGTTACCTAGAGAGTCAGTCTCCTAGACTTTTTCTCTTGCAATTTCAATCGTCACGTGTATTGGCTTTGTGTCAGATTTAGCCAACCGTCGCAAATGCACAAACACATAAACATTACTGACGCAGAATGTGCAGCATACAAGGGATACATAGGACTTTAAATAAGTAAGGTGTGTGCACATATATATATATATATATGTGTGTGTGTGTGTGATCACTAAGAAAATCAATATGTTTGCATTGCAAGGATAAAACAAAAACTCGCTCACTCTCTTTTTCTCGCTCTCTTACGCGCTATGTATTTTTTTTATATATATAGGAATAAAGTGTTGCTGAGTTTGAACCTAGATCGCCAGTTAGCAAACACAGACGATCCCATTATTGAATTAAACGGATCACGTGACCATAGAGGAAACGCATAAGAAGGAGGTTGTGTGACGTCTAAACGATCGCCATTTCTAGTCTATCCTCTATTCCTATACGGACCGCTATTTCTACTCTATCCTCTATTCCTATACGGACCGCTATTTCTACTATTCTATCTATTCCTATACGGACCGCTATCTCTATTCCTATACGGACCGCTATTTCTACTATTTCTATTCCTATACGGACCGCTATTTCTATCCTCTATTCCTATACGGACCGCTATTTCTACTCTATCCTCTATTCCTATACGGACCGCTATTTCTACTCTATCCTCTATTCCTATACGGACCGCTATTTCTAGTCTATCCTCTATTCCTATACGGACCGCTATTTCTAGTCTATCCTCTATTCCTATACGGACCGCTATTTCTAGTCTATCCTCTATTACTATACGGACCGCTATTTCTATTCTATCCTCTATTACTAAGGGACCACTATTCTCTACTCTATTCAATATATTATTTCTCTATTCGGATCCCTATACCGATTGCTATACGAGCGAGTATTATCGAGGAATGTACTATAAGAATGAGTGTTTTTCGAAGGTATCTGACACCAGTATTGTTCAACGGCGTACTATAGTTGTATCTGCGATTACAAGGTCTCTACTACAACGAGCATTACGAAAGTGGCAACGAGTGTTCGTTGACATTACAAAAATTATTAGATCGTCACACATGAAATGACGCATGTTTTGATTGGTTGTTGATCCGGTCGTCTAACAAAGTAACCTCCTTAGTATAAAAAAAATCTTGACTTTTCCAAACTTTTTTTCAGATAATTTTGATTTCAATATATTGTTACCGATAAGCCCAAAGAAAATGATTACAATTAAACAATGTCGAGTAATCTTGCTGTCTGAGTACAAACTGGGATAAAGAACTTTTTGCATCAAATCATTGCATGCGATGAAAAATGGATACTCTTTGACAACAGTAAAAAAAGTCGGCCAGTGCTGAGATTCAAGTCACTTACCAAAACAATACCCAAAACGTCCACTACACCCTAAAGAGTTAATGCTTAAAGAAGTTGTTATGGGGTCCACCCCTTTTTCATACAAGTGGACTGGACCAGTGTGTACTTGGACTGCTTCCGTTAATTACCCAGAGTCAGTCAGAACAGAGCGGTGATTGTGATTGAGTTGGAGGTAGAGTAATAGTGTGAGGTAACCTCTTTGTAGGAGTCACAGTTGCGAGCACGTAGACTCTAAGGAAGTCCTACTTCGAGACTGAATTTACCCGACTATATATATATATATATATATTTATATATATATTATTGCTACTAACTGCGTTTCTGGATCTACTAACCGTATTACCAATTGTATTATTGTGTAAATACATTTATTTGTTATATTTCATTCCTGCATTTGTCATTCATTGGAGACCGAATTTCATCTCGGAATCCACAACAGAAGTAATGCTAAATAATTACTTATGGTGGTCTTTCAAAGGGGTTATTCCTTATTCATTTTTGCATCAAAGGAAAACAATAACAGCAACCTCGTGTAAGCAAGGGAAACATCCTAGACTTGTGAATAGAGATGACCCAATTTAACTGCACGACAACGCACGGCTGAACGATTCTCAATGAACTGTCTAAAAGCATAGCCTGAATTATAAAATTTTGCATCATCCTCCATATTCACCTGCTATCTCTCCTACTGGTTATCACTTATTTAAACATTTTGAGCTTTTCATTCTCTAATAAAGAGGTAATTGAAGCATTTGAACTCTTTATCATATCAAAGGTTTTTTTTTTAAAGATGGGATTAAAAATTTAGAGATACGCTGGAGACTAGTCATTCATCAACATGGCGTCTATTTCAACTAAATAAATTAGTTATTTAACATTTCAGAAGCGTTTTATTCATTTCCTGTAAAGTGCGTCATTTCAAGTGTGACAACCGAATACATTATAGGTTAAAAGTTTGGGGCAATAGTTTGGATGTCGAAGAATCGAGGATGTGCGTCTGGAATGAGAAGTCCACTAGAATTCTATTCTAAATGGTTACATTCAGTTACGCGTAAATACTCTTTGCAAAGATATGAATCTCTTTTCTCCCCAGACACGGATTAAATAGTGGGACTTGCACTTGGACTGAACGCTGATTTTTCCCATATTCATCTATGGTGACCCGATGACGCAATAAAAATATTTAACTAAAATTTTGAAGGTTCAAAAACGGAATTTGCTCTTTCATCTGAATCTCTATCTATAAACGACAGGATGTGTGTGTGTGTGTGTGTGTGTGTGTGTGTGTGTGTGTGTGTGTGTGTGTGTGTGCGCGTTTGTAACGAATGCACGGCCGCAATTTTCGACGGATTTGCACCAAATTTTACATGCACAGGCTCCAAGTTGGCGGAAAGGCCAAGACCGACTTTGCATTTCCCAACTCCCATCGATAGTGGAAATAATCGATTTTTTCATGCTTCTACGGCAGTTTTCATGTAGTTTGCCGCCATTTTCTACTGGCCAGAATGAGAGCCAACAGCTGACTGACACAAATGTTAACTAGCATGCTACCATACAAAAAAAAATCGATAGCTGCATTCGTCACAAGTGGGAAAAATTTAAATCTGCATGGCACTTTACTCCAATTAGCTTATTCGCTTGTTTAAACTCAACGTTGATTCTGATTCCGCAGAACTGGGTTGGGTGTGAAAAAGTATTTGTTGTTAACATTCTTTTTTCATTCGGTTTTTCCAGTTACGAGTCCTTTTTTAAAGCTGATCGTTTTGTGTTCATTTTGTTTAGTTCTTTTTTCGTAACAAATTTAATGTTTAGTATAGAGCTTAGAAAAAATTCGCAGTGTGAGATAGGCAAGAAGTAAGGCATGTAGCAACATCAGCACGTCAAAGGGCACTCCTTTAAAGGCAAGGAAGGGCAAAAATATTTTAAGTCAAGTGATAGCGATTGCTGTATGAGTTGTACGATTTTTGAATCAAGCACGGGCAACGCTGCGCCATGCTGCTAGTAACAACATAAAGTTCAGACCTTTACAGCTAAGCCTCTCTCTACTCCATCGCTATTTCCATGGCAAATGTTCAGATGAGCAACATCCCTTAATTCCACCAGTTCAGACCATTAATAATACTAGAAAGAAGAAATAGATTTATTATTTTCTCCTTCATTTCCGCATCGTAATTCTATTTTCTTCTTCCAGTTATCTTCTTCTTCTTCTTCTTCTTCTTCTTCTCCTCCTCCTCCTCCTCTTCCTCCTCCTCCTTTTAATTATGTTTTTTTCTTCTGTTATTCCTTATTCTCGATATCGTTTTTCCTTCTTTCTCCTTACACTCTTCGTTTTCTTTTTTTCTTTTTCATTTTCTTCCGGTTCTTTTTTTTATTCTCATCTTTCTTCCTTTCTTCGCCTTCTCCCCCTCCTTCTCCTCTTCTTCTTCTTGCTCCGAATGAGATAAGACATGCATAAAAAAAAACATCAGCTTTCTGAAAGCTTTCAGCTGCTTCTTCTTGAAATATGACTCAACGTATGCCTTCAAAAATCAAAGCGCGCCTGAATTACATGCTCAGAAAAGCAATGAGATTATGCTGGAAAATAAATATTTATTGTAAAAAATAAATGCATTTTTTAGCATTAGATACACGTTGATGTAATTTTTCTTCATCTATGTGCCCTGTCCCTTCTGGGCGTTTATGGTTCTCCACAACATCCTGTCCTTTGTAGGTTTTAATGACTTTTATCGTTTTGTTACCTCTCCTAAACCTCATATTAAGTATAAGTGCCTAATTACTCACATGTTTGGTCTATGGTTATTCATAGCATCCTCCAGTAAAGCTGGCTTACGGTCACAACACGTTGAAACAGCGCTTCCCGTATAATCACTGAACCCTGGTGAATAACTCGATTACGGCCCTCCACAACTTCCTGTCCTTTGTAACTCTTAAAAAGTGTTGCCTTTTTGTTATCTTTCCCAAACCTTGCTCTGATGTTAAACATTAGTGTCCTTTTTGTTTCCATTTTCTCTAAAATTTCGTCGTTGCTCACATGTTCCGTCTATGGTATTCTCAGCATCCTTCAGTAGAACCAGAACCTTTTAATCTGTTCTTCATCTGTGAGGAAATTGTCCAACATTCACTGCCATATAGAAGGACTGATATTACATCACAGTTGTCAATACCAATCTTATAATGACTTCTTTTTTTTTCAATTCACCCCAAGCAAGGCAATAAAGCCACTAGGACGCAAGGGGTTACTGAGTGTTAGAGAATATGAGAAAAACTACTATTAAGGAGAGAGGACAATAAAAGAAGAAGAATTAAGAAGACAGAAGATAACGATTGACATTGCATTTAAATTTTTGAAGATCAAAGGCAATAAAACCACTAAGACGCAAAGGGCTTACTGAGTGTTAGAGAATAAGAGAAAAACTACTATTAAGGAAAGAGGACACTAAAAGAACAAGAATTAAAAAGACAGAAGATAACCATTGACATTGCATTTAAATTTTTGAAGATCAAAGGCAATAAAGCCACTAGGATATAAAGGGGTTACTGAGTGTTAGAGAATAAGAGAAAAAACTACTATTAAGGAGAGAGGACAATAAAAGAAAAAGAATTAAGAAAACAGCAGATAACGATTGACATTGCATTTAAATTTTTGAACATCCAAGTTAACTTGGAAGCAAGAAACCGTAAGAGAGATCGATAAGCAAGAAGTGCGAAAGAAGAAATTGTTAGGATAGAACATACGGTTACATCTCTTGATTTCAATTGTAAAATGATGAGACCTAACCGCCAATCTGGTACTGCACTGAAATCCAGAAATTCTAGGTGTCATAGCGGAAATTTCATCAGAACAATCACCATGAACGTATTTATAAAAGAAAAAAAAAAAAGGTAAAGCGAAGCTACGTTACGGCGGTGGAAAAGTGGCTTAAGCCGAGATCCCAGGACAGGACCAATAATATTGCAGATTCTTCATTAGATTTTATCAAGAATCCCTAAATATACAGCAGAGTCACCAGACCATTTATTGTTTTATTCTTCAGTTGATAAAATGACAAGCCACTTCACCTTCGCCGAAATATCGAACAGTAAATATTTATTGCTTCTCGTCTGACACTTTATCCACAAAACTTTCGATCGGGGTATTTTATGGCATCTAACGGAATGAAGCAAGTCGAGTGTATCCATACGCGGAATTAAAAGCCAGGCTCGACTTCATCAGAAAGGTGGCATTCCTCCCTTTCTTTGTCGTAAATCTTCCTGTTATTGCAATTTCGACGGCTGCTACTGCTGCTACCGAGATTGCGAGAAGGTTGGCGCCATTTTTCGTGAATGAGACCGGCTGGCTGACGGGGTGCACGTCAGCCTCTAACATCGTCGGAATAGAGAACAAAGTGTTAGTGCTTTTGGAAAGCAAAGAGTTGCGGATTAACGAAAAGAGGAAGCAAACATCGAAGGAGAAATTATGTTAGAAATTAAGAAGGGGTAAAGAATGAAATGAAGAACGAATAGACGAATTGATAGAAGACGGAAGCGGGAAAATGAACGACTGCGTGACGTAGAAAGGCTAGGATTTTCCTTGGTACTAACCCGGATAAAAAAAAAAAACAAATAATTTTGCGATTAGATTTAAGCGGACATATTACCCTTGCCAAAAATTATAATTCTCCCACGCAAAATTGCATTATGATAACATAATTTTGTGCCGGGTGTACTGTTGTCTGCTACAGAAAGAAATTTGAAAGATTTGCGAGCGAAGCACACTGAGAGGATTTCCCTTGATATACAAAAAAAAATTTTTTTTTTAATTTTCAATACGCATGCGTGTGATTTGTCAGTGTTCGTTTGTATTTTTTCATATTTCTTTCTTAGTGGAGATGAAGAGAAACAGAGAAAAGAGAGGGTTGTTCTCGGCGGTAAGGGAGGAAGAAGAAATGATAGAAAAGTAGTAAAAAAGGAAGAAGTAATCAAGCAAAAGAAAGAAAGAAAGAAAGAAAGAAAGAAAGAAAGAATAGACAAATACGGGAAGAAATGATAAAAAAGTAGTTAAAAAAGAAGAAGCAATCAAGCACGAAAGAAAGAAAGAAAGAAAGAAAGAAAGAAAAAAGAAAGAAAGAATTAACAAACAAGGGAAAAATAATAGAAAATAAAGAAGAAAAGGAAAGAGCAAGAAAGATAGATAAAAGCAAAGAAATAAATCAATGAAAATAAAGAGTAAAAATTAAGAAGAAGGAAAAGAGGCAATCAAGATGAAAAGAAAGAAAGAAAGAAAGAAAGAAAGAAAGAAAAATAAACAAAGAGAGAGATGATATAAAAGAAAGAAAGAAGAACAGACTAGAATTGAAAGAAAAAAGAAGTAAAGAATAAAAGAAAGAAAGAAAGAAAAAAGGAGAAGAACAGAAAGAAAGAAGAAAAGGAAGGAAGAATAAATAAATAAAATAGAATAGAAAGAAAGAAAGGGCTTGGAAAGAAAGAAAGAAAGAAAGAAAGAAAGAAAGAAAGAAAGAAAGAAAGAAAGAATAAACTTGAGTTTAAAGAAAGAAAGAACGGACTAGAATGGCAAGAAAGAAAGAAAACAAGAAAGAAAGAAAGAAAGAAAGAAAGAAAGAAAGAAAGAAAGAAAGAAAAATAAACAAAGAGAGAGATGATATAAAAGAAAGAAAGAAGAACAGACTAGAATTGAAAGAAAAAAGAAGTAAAGAAAGAAAGAAAGAAAGAAAGAAAGAAAAATGTATAAGAAAGACAATAATGTAAGACAAAAATAAGAAAGACAATAATGTAAAAGAAAGAAAGAAAGAAAGAAAGAAAGAAAGAAAGAAAGAACGGACTTGAATTTAAAGAAAGAAAGAAAGAAAGAAAAATAAACAAAGAGAGAGATGATATAAACGAAAGAAAGAAGAACAGACTAGAATTGAAAGAAAAAAGAAATAAAGAAAGAAAGAAAGAAAGAAAGAAAGAAAGAAAGAAAGAAAGAGAGAAAGAAAGAAAGAAAAATGTATAAGAAAGACAATAATGTAAGACAAAAATAAGAAAGACAATAATGTAAAAGAAAGAAAGAAAGAAAGAAAGAAAGAAAGAAAGAAAGAAAGAAAGAAAGAACGGACTTGAATTTAAAGAAAGAAAGAAAGAAAGAAAGAAAGAAAGAAAGAAAGAAAGGAAGGAATAAAATAAACAAGGAGAGAAACGAAAGAGAAGAAAAGAAAAAAGAAAGAAAGAAAGGGTAGAAAAGAAAGAAAGAAAGAAAGAAAATAAAAGAAGGGCGTCCATAAATAATTTAATCGAAGACAGAGAACAAAGTATAGAAAAATGCGAACAGAATCAAAATGGATGCCTTATCTTCATCTTTTCTCATTTTCTATTCTTTTCAGATTCTCCGGAATCTTTCGATTCTGTTTGTATCAAATCCCAACGGTAGCCGCTTAATGGATGCCGGACATCCAAGCTTTTAATGTTAATGATCGCTTCTTTCTTTTTTCTAAATTTTAGAATCAGGTGAACATATCGGTTAAAGGTCCTCCTTGTAGACGATGTGCGTAGGTGTTTCGAAAAACCTATTACGTCACCTGTTCATTTTGGCGTCTCTTTTCAAAAGACTTTTAATTTTATTTCTTTATTTCCATAAATTACTCGTTCTTCTATCAAGAACAACTGAAATATAGTAAATGTGATACTACTACTACAACCCCTTCACGGCGACTAACATGTCATTTATCAAACTATAGTGCCATAAGTGGTTAGAACGTTCGCTTTCTGACCCGAGTTCGAATCTCACCATGGTTAATTTGTCAGGAAGATAACTTCTTGATGTTGTCGGTCTAGAGGAAAATGCCATTCTTTGAAAAGTGCCTGACAACCACACCACTTGCCTAACACTCATTTGTGAGTAAAATTGGGTAGAGCATAGTTGTAATATAAACCATTTGTGGTGTCTGTGGGTGTTGAACAAAAACAAATGTGCCTGAGCAGGCGTCTGCAACGGGGATAGGATAGCCGCCCTAGTAAACTGGCACCCTCGGAGACGTGTGGCTGCGCTATTTAGTGCCATAAAAGCTTAATCTATTGTTTATTAATCAATATCAGAAATGGAAATCGGAGAGGCGAGTTCGAATTCCAGTCGGGTTTGTTACTTTAACTTACACTCTCTTGGTGAAGGTATGAATCCATCTCCCCCCAACCTATGGGTTAAATAGTAAGTCGTGTACAAAATAATAATTGTTAATTTAAAAAAAAAACTTCATTCATTCGCAGAAGAAAAAATATTTTTACAATCCAAAATATGTTTCAGCATTAAATAACCCACAAATTGTTGATAATCCGTAAAAAATAATCGAGTAATCAATATACAAGAGGACAAAGAAAACAACAAGTAACTTACCTGACTAGCAGATGACAAAGGATTGGTTGTTGTGGAGAGCCATGATCGCCAATGTCATGAAGGGATACAGTCCATAAAAGAAGAATTAACATAGCCCACAAGGCAGTTGTATTCATCCCGATGTTAGACAGATACTCAACAGATACGAACAACAGAACTGTACAACATAAATTTCAAAAAGAGATTACAAATAACTTTATCATTAAATGATAAATTATATAAAAACTGTCCGAATGTTCTTTTTATCCGAGCGCTTTCGGCTATACATTTAGCCATTTTCAAGGATTAAATATTTTAACTGTTAAATAAGAAATAGTTTGTTATATGTATATTTTATAAAATGTTTTAATTTTTCAAAACACGGTCAATATATTGTGTCCATGTTCTATTTCTTATTTAACAGTTAAAATATTTAATCCTTGAAAATGGCTAAATGTATAGCCGAAAGCGCTCGGATAAAAAAAAATTCTGACAGTTTTTATATAATTTATCATCCGAAAAAAAAAAAATTATTAGATCACATGAGAAATTGTATAAAAAACTAAATAAAAGCACCTTGTCTGTCGTATAAAAATGTGCATATATATATATATATATATATATATATATATATATATATATATATATATATATATATTTTTTTATTATAATAGATTATAACAAAATATTTTGCATCGCTACACAAAAGCTTTCATGTTTCAATACTATGGGTGAACTTCCTCAGGCGATGTTAGATAACTTGTGATGAAAATGAAAAAGATTTTTTTTTATCTCAAGTTATCTACCATCGCCTGAAGAAGTACAATCATAGTATTGAAACATAAAAACTGTTGAGTAGCGATGTAAAATCTTTTTGTCATAATTTATTATAATAAAAATATTTAATAATAATTTTGTTCTACTTTGTATTGAGCACATTTCTTTTAAAAAATGCTCAGTATTTTTACTCCATTTCTCCTATTTGGATATACATACATATATATATATATATATATATATATATATATATATGTGTGTGTGTGTGTGTGTGTGTGTGTGTGTGTGTGTGTGTGTGTGTGTGTGTGTGTGCTGTTTCTTTATTGTAGCACTATCAGTTACAGGCGGATGGGCTGATCTAGAAAACACTTATCTCAGGCTGAGATAGCATTTACATCTTGACTGGAGTGTTCCGGCCTGTATACACTTAAAGCCACTGGTCAAGATAAAATTGCAATGGATACGGACAATGAATGTAGATTTCTAAAGGGATATTAAAACTATGTAACCGAATGTAACCGCTGGCCGCTCACAGAGTCGTTTTTTATGAAGCAATTTCTGGTGGTCAACATTGATGAAAAGCATCTGTTTCGCCCAGGCTTAAAACAGAACGCTGATTTGGATAATAGCTTTAACGACTTGAAGATAATGATTAGAAAAAGCGTTGCATGTGGCCTGAAATAAAAGAGAATTAAATATTTTTTTTTATCTTTTTCTGGAAATTTGATTCCTCGATAAAATAAATCCATACAGCCATTCCTTGATGGTTTTGGCTATGTCCAGCAGAAACCGGATGATATTAATTTTTTCAAGGGTTAATCTTTTCCATAAATTGAATTCCCTAAAAATTTAAATTCAGTGAAGAGCCTTCTACTATTGTTGAAATGGTTAGCTTTTAGTTAAGGCTCAAACAGCCCCTTGTTACGGTCCCTAGAAAGGGATTGGTCAACCGGGTCAAGTGACGCCCCAAAGAGCAACAGATTGTTTCTAAGGAAGTTGGAGGAAGAATAGGCAGCTTTGAGTGCAAGTCAGAGAAAGGCAAATTGGAGTTTGATGGATGGATTAACCCTCTCATTGCCACTAAGGTGCTGGATAATTGCCCAAAATTGGAAAATCTCAATTGAGACAAAAGGAATGTTGATATTTCTATCCCAGTCAGACCCCCACGCGGTTTAGGGCGAAGTATTATTTAAACCGGACGTCTTGAGGCTTTCAAGGAGAGCAGAGTAGAACTAGAAGTCGGGAAAAACAGACCAGCAGACTCCAGAGTGGTTCAGCAGAGTCCACAGAAGAACTCCGAGAATGAGTTACCACTTAGATTTGAATCAAAATGCGGATAAGAACTGACAAGGCTACCTCCTGTAGCCATGATCGTGTGACAACCTAAAACCAGGAATTAGACGCCCAGAGTGAGAAACTAAGTGCACAAATCTCAAGGTATAATCGTCCATCACTCCAGCGGTTTTTGAAGCTTGTATTTGAGTTGACTCCCTCATTATATAGGGTGTTCCAATATATATATATATATATATATATATATATATATATATATATATATATAATTATTTATTTAAAAATATGATTCCAATTCGCGACATAAGAGGTCTCATGTTTCAAAACAAGAGCCGAAAACTTCAATATAATTATTTGAATTAAATCGAGTTAAAGTAAGCTCTGTTCCATAACTCAATTTAATTCAAATAATAAATGCAATGAAAAGTTCCCAGTTCACACCATCTCTCGAAACAGTGAAGTCAATTGACCACAACAATCGCGCAACTTGACGCCTTCAGATTTCTTCCTTTGGCGTCATCTCAAAAGTAATGTCTATGCCAACAAGCCAACAACAATTCAACAGCTGAAGGATGAGATAATAATTTCTGAGACATCGGTTGGTTAGTGCCTGAGGTTTGTGGGTGTTGGCCTTGGTTACCCGCCATGTTTCTTAGCCTTAAATAGGACCGACTTGATTTTGGTGTTGAAGGTGTGTCGCCTTGACGTAGTACGACGGCTTGCGTGCTTCAACGGCCATCAGGACTATGTTCAACCATGCTCAATAGGTCTGTGGGGTAAGAGCCAGACGAAACACACACCCTGGTCCTCCAGCCTGGGAATTGTGCAATAGACTAACAATGTACTCACTTAAGAACTAGCTTGTGACATAAACCGCAACGATATGGTCTACAATCATTATAAAGACTGTTTCAATAACTTGGATCGATTTTAAATGGGAATTAAGTTTAAGCGTCTAATGTTTATTTTTCTTTTTCGTTCAGATTTAACAACTTACGTCATCGGCAATTTCAACCCTGGTCAATAAAACAACGTTTTAAAGTTATCGAAGCCTATTACGAAAATGGACGTTCAAGTATACGACCCAATGATTCAACTAGCAAAAAATGCACACTAAACAGAGACCTTTTGTGGATGCAGTGGCTTTTCAACAATCTTCCTGGGATTTTCATCAAACCCAAATGCGACAATTCTGCTTATTAACGAACCCACCAAGATGAAAATGGGCTTCGTCACTAAAGAGGATTTTTTGCGAAAAATCTTCATCGGCTTGTCTTTGCACCCAATTGACGAATGTACGACACTGAAAATGGTCAGCAGGATTCAGTTCTTGTGTCAATTTAATTTTGTAAGCGTGTAGAGACATTATCTTTAGTCAAAATTCGAGGTAACGTTGTTGTGAAGAGGTTCAGTTCCTGCGCGCGATCACGAATAGTGGGGTCTGGATTTTCGGCCACATTCTCGTGTACTGCAGCAATGTTTTCAGCTGAACGGCGTAAACAAGCACACAAAGGCGTTTTCACGTCTGCCACTGACGCAGTTTGTTTGAATTTACGAACAATTTTTGCAATTGCAGTCTCGGTTGGTCGATTATGTTGACCAAAAAATCACAAAGTGCATTTCTGTTTGAACGTCCATTTTCGTAATCGGCTTCGATAACTTTAACACGTTGTTTGATTGTTAATCTTTCCATGGTTGAAATTGCAAAAGTCTGAAGTTGTTAAATCTGAAAGAAAAAGAAAAAATCATTAGTCGCTTAAACTTATTTCACATTTAAAATCAGTCCAGTTTGTAGGATGTGGGCTACGATAAGTTTTTAGACACCCTTGATTACACTATTTTT